TTAGACCATTATTTAAAGTTATAGTTGATAGATTTATATGTACCATATTTGTTACTGCTTTCTATTTGCTCCCTGTCATTCATTCCTATTTTGACCTTTAACTCTTTCTCCGCTATGTGATTTTATTGAGCATGTTTTACGATTCAACTTTCACTCCTCTTTAGCACATCAGTTGTACTTCTCTTTTTAGTGGTTGCCCTAGCATTTGCAATGTACATTTACAACTAATCCAGGTCCTTTCTCAAGTAATAGTACACCATTTATATTATAAACACCTTTTAATTACAAAATAATCCTAATTCTTCCCTCTTATTCTTGTATCAGCAGTGTCATTCAGTTTGCTTATCATGAGCATAAGTAAGTGTACATATGAATTTATTATTGCTGTTTTTTTAAAGAAGCTGTGTTATGTTAGATCAATTTAGAATAAGAAAATTTTCAATTTTTCCTTCACTTATTCTCTCTGCAGTGCTTTTACTTTCTTTATGTAAATCTTTGTTTCTGCCATGTATAAGTTTTCTTCTCTCTAAAGAACTTCTTTTAACATTTCCTGCAACACAGGTCCACTAAATGAAGTCTCTCAGTTTTTGTTTGTCTGACACAGTCTATATTTCTCTTCACATTTGAAGGATAATTTCGCAAGGTACAGAATTTTAAGTTTTTTTCCCTGAACACTTTAAATATTTCCCTGTACTCTTTTCTTGTTTGCATGATTTCTGAGAAGTCAGATGTAATTCTTTTTTTGCTCTTCCAGAGATAAGGTATATTTTTCCTCTGGCTTCTGTCAAGACTTTTCTTTATGTTTGCTTTTCTATTGTTTGAAAATGATATCCCTAGGTGTAGATTTGGAGATATTTATCCTACTTGGTATTTTCTCAGCTGCTCCTCAACCTCACTCTGTGACTTGATGTCCACACTAAATTCAAGGAAATCCTCAGTAATTATTTCAAATATTTTTTCTATTTATGTCTTTCTTCTGATATTTCCGATTCATATGTGTCACCACTTTTGTACTTCTTCTGCAGTTCTTGAATATTAAATTCTTTTTCTTTTTGTCTTTTATCTTTGCTTCTCAGTTTTGGAAGTTTCTATTGAGATTTTCTCAAGCTCAGAGATTCTCTTTCCTCAATCATGTTCAGTCTGCTACTAAGCTAATCAAAATCATTCTTTATTTCTGTTACAATGCTTTTGATGTCTAGCAGTTCTTTTTGTTTCTTTTTCTTAGCATTTCCATCTATTTGTTTGCATAGATCATCTGTTTTTGCATGCTGTCTACTTTACCCATTAAAGCCTTTGGCGCATTAACCAGTTATTTTGAATTCCCAGCCTGGTAATTTCAACATCCCTGCCATATCTGTGTCTGGCTTTTATACTTGCTTGGTCTCTTCACACTGACTTGTTGGTTTGTTTTTCTGTTTTGGTTTTTGTTTTGTTTCTTTCCATTTAGTACACCCACTAATGTTTTTCTTAATAACCAGACACAATGGCCTGAGTAAAAGAAACTGCCCTAGACAGGCTGTTATAGATGTGGAAGTAAGGTGTAGGGGAAGGGAAAGTGTTCTACAGCCCTGTGATTAGGAGTCAGTTGTCTGGTGAGCTTGTGCCTTTGGACTGTGAATTTCACAAGTATTTCTCACTGTCTCCACACCTCATAGATGGCTAGAGTTGGCTGGAGTTGGATTCCTCTCTTCCTTTGGATCAATAAGCACTAACAAATCTCAAACAGGTTAGGCTGTGGCTAACTAGTTTCACCTGAGAGCAGGCCTTTGTAAGAATATAAATCTCTGGCATATTTTGAGATAGTTCCTGCTTCTACCCAAAGCAGGTGTGGATTTTTCCCTAATAGTCACTACAGTAACCTGGGAGATTTCCAAGCATGATCTCACAGAACTGGGGTTCAGGCTGATGAATGGTCCTTTGTCAGTTTTTGTCTTTCAGGATTGTCCACGGTGAGCCTCTAGCAACTTGTCAATTGTAGTTTGGATTCTCCTCTAGTTCCCATGCATAGAGGTTTCTGTTCTGATAAATTATAATTCTTGCTATTCCCCTTTTTAGCTCTCCAAATCTGTAGGAGCAGTAGTTTGCCATGTGACTTCACTTCTCTTAGAGATCTATGAAGAGTTGTTAATTTTCCACTTTGCTCAGCTTTTTACTTGTTAGAATGGAATGGCAGCTTCCAGGCTTCTCACATGCCAGGCCGGAAACTAGAAATCACTATTTTTTCAAAATCAATTCAAAAATCCATCAACTGAATAAAGAAAGTGTTGTATATCCATACAAAGTAATAATATTTGGCAATAAAAAGGAATGGAGTACTGATACATGCTACAACAATGATAAACCTCAAAGATGCTAAGCATGAGAAGCCAGATGCAGAAAACACACACTGGATAATTCTATTTATATGAAATGTTCAGAAAAAAACAACTCCCTGGAGACAGAAAGCAAATTAGTGGTTTCTTGTGACTTGAGGTGAAATGACGACTGACCAGAAATTGTCACAAGGGATCTTACTACATGACAGAAAAGTTCTAAAACTAGATTGTGGTGAAGGTCACATGATTCATTAATTTACTAAAAATCATAGCTGTCTTTACAAAGGTGACTTTTGTCACCTCAATAAAGTTAATTTAAAGGTTTATTTGGAAAATGTAGAAAAGCTTTAAAACAAAGCAAGCAATGTCTCCTTTTATTCTTAATGACAATGACTTCAATTCTTCCTCCTTATCCTACTCTTTACTGAGTTGAACCATTACTGGATTCCTGCAAAAACCTTCACTGTTCATTTTTAAAACATCATATTTCCCATATCATTACATTTTTGCTGTTGTATGGATATAATACATTTACTTTTTATTTTTTTTCTTGATTGGACAATGCTAGATCTCCTTCTCCATACATAACCTGTGTGCCCATTTCTGGAGTGAATTTCTAAAAATCAAACAGTTGAGTCAAAGACAGACACATTTTTAATGCTTTTGGTGCATCTCTAGTGGTTGTTAGCAAAGGCAGGCTGTACAGGGCCTTTTTTCATCAACAGCTGAGCAGGTGTCTGTTTCTCAACACCTTCATCAAAGTCGCATGTGGTAATTTGTTTTATGTCTTTGCCAGTTACAAGAAAAAAAATGATACTCCATTGCTGATTTAAATTGACATTATTTATTAAGGAGACTGCACATACTTTCATTCATTAGTAGCTTATTTGTTGTTTTATTATTTTGTCCTGTGAAATGTCTATCCCTTTCCTTTGCCCATTTTTATACTGAAGTGCTTGTCTTTTCGTTGAGTTTAAGTTCTTTTTATAAAATACAAATATCAACCTTTACTGCTTTTTTCAAGACCGTTGTTTGGCATTTCATGTTCTCTATGGTTGTTTGATGTGTAGAAGTTTTACACTATTCCTGTGGAGTTAAATTTTTCTCCCACAACTCCTGACTTTATTGACATCCTTAGAAAGGCCTCTTCCACCCCAGCATTGTACCATAGTCACCTATATTTTCTCTTGTATGGTTTTATAGCGTTTCCTTTCCCTTTCTCTTATTTTCTTGCTACTTATTCTTTATTTCATCTAGAATTTATTTTAATTATGTATTCACATTGGAGTCTAACTTCAATTTCTCCAAATAATTGAATAATTGTCAGAGTACAATTAATGAATAATTCATCCTTTCTCTATCCATAGGAAATACCCACCTTTATCATGTTTTAAATACCTATCTCTAGTTGAGTCTCTTTCAAAGGACTTCTGTCTCACTCTTACAACATGGCTTTAATTATTTTTGTTTAATGATATGTTTTAAAATATGGCAATACAAATCATCTTTCATCATTCTTTTACAGACAGTTTTTGGTTATTATCTTGTATTTTGTCTTCGAGATACATTTTGGAGTCATTTTGTCCAGAAAAAGAAAAATCCTTCCATGATTCTGATTGGAATTAAATTAAACTAAAAAATTAATTTGTGAAAATTGATACTCGACCCATACTATGCAGTAATACATGTCTCCTTGTTTAAGTATATGTTTGCACCTCTCACTTTTTATTTGCTTTTGTCATTTTAAAGAAACCAAAACTGCACACTGCTTATTTGCTTTGTTGTTTGTTATTTAATTTTTTGCTGATATTATAAAGGAAATTCTTTTTCTGCTATGTTTTCCTACTGGTTGTCACTCATTCAAGGAAATACTATTAATTTGTGCTAACCAGTCATTTGACTCAACTGTCCTACTCACTCTTACTTGTTCTCATGGCTAGGGATTCTTTTAAGGGGTTTTCAGGGGGATATTCATATTTGCAAATAAGAATTATTCACTTCCAGAAGTTGTGCCTATAAATACATTTTCTGTCTTGCTGGTTGGTTAGCGGTACAGTGTGAATCTTTACTCACACTTTTTTTCTTTAACAAGAATGTGTCTAGTGTTTCCCTGGACATCGGTGATTGCGATATTAAAAGTAGATGTAACCTAAAGGCACTTCAAGGAAGTATCTTTTCTGGTGCTATTTTATTAAACATTCTTAATAGCAGTAGATATTGGATTTTATTAAATGCCTCCCTGCATTTTATGAATTGATCATATTTTTTCTCTTTCAACTATTGATGTAGTAGAATGGTATTCATAGATTTCTTCATGTTGAACTGGTGTTACATTCCTAAAATAAAACTCTGTGTGCTTATGGTATGTTATCCTTGTAATATTCTGGTAGATTATGCTTGCCAGAATTCTATTGAGAATTTTCACAGCAGTATTAATAAATTGATCATTTTATTTGGACCCTATCAGGTTCTATTGCCAGGAATTTGTTAGTTGGATGAAATAAACTAGAAGGATTTTCGTATTTCTTGTGTCCTAGTCCGGTTTCTATATAAGGCAATCATCTGCGGAATTACTGAACACTGGGTGTGGTTGGGGGTGTTTGCTTGCCCATGAGACCTTCTTAGCAAACCATTGCAGGATCTCCACCCCCTCCTCCCTACAACAGTCTTACCTGTCTCCCACAGGAGGAATCTTTGAGTATGCAGATGGCCCCAACGCCCAGGTCATGAACGCTGAGGAGCATGCCTTTCGATTTTCTGCCAACATCATCAACAGAAACAGGACCCTGCTGCCCAACACAACCTTGACTTATGACATCCAGAGGATTCACTTCCATGACAGCTTTGAGGCCACCAAGAAGGGTGAGTGTGCAGCTGCTTCCTGTTGTCTTCCCAGGGTACAGCTGCATTTCCCGTCCAATCCCAGAGCTCTGGGTGTGTTTGGGGTTAGAACCTTTTCCACTTGGTCTGGGGACCTTCCTCAGTCCCAGTTCAGCTCAGACCATCAGTCCCCAGCACCAGGAGGAGGGTGTCCATCAGGAACTGCCAGGCCACTGTCTGGGGCTGGAGGGAGCAGAAGCCGTGAAGGGTGGTTGGGGAGGGGGTCAGAGGCCAAGAAAGGCAGGGAGATAGTGAGGATCTGAGACTGGCTGCCAGGTGGAGGCTGCACAGGTCACCAGCACCTCTGAACCCAAGTGGACATTTTCAACCGTCCTTTATTCTTTTTTTAAAGTTTTATATTATTTTTGATGGACCAATAATTGTTGTAGATATTTATGGGGTATGATGTGGTGTTTTGTTACATGTATGCATTGTGGAATGATCAAATCAGAATAATTAGCATATCCATACCTTTAAGTGCTTTTCATTTGTGGTGAGAACATTTACAATCTTCTCTTTTAGCTATTTTAAAACATACATTATTATTAATTACAATTATCTTTCTCTGAAAGCTTGTTTTGTCTTTTGCTGAAATCCCACCCAAAATAATCAATATGTAAAATACATATAAGGCAAATAATGTGTAAATTCAAATGTGCAACATCTACTTGCTGTAAAGAGACTTAATAGAAACAGCAAAGCTGCTTCAGTGCCTACAACAATTTGACCCTAGATGCTATGGATGACCCTTGAAGTCTGACATTGGCCTCAGTATTTGGTATATTTTTGCTTTGTTTTGGCTGCAGAGTAATAAGAAAATCATAATTCATAAAAATAAACTGCAGTGAATCTAATTAAACAGTGTTCCCACCCTTGAATTTTTAAAAATGAGATAAAAACAAATGTGCTACATCCTTCTTAATTAGACGCATTTAAAATAATCCCAAGCTCCAGTGACTTGAGCTCTTCAAACACATACAAAGAAGATAACTTGTGTAATACCTGAATGAGTTAGAAGTTTCCAGTGTGGTATATTATACTCTGGAGTACACAAGTGTGCTTCCTTGAACTTTTTTAAAGAATAATTCATACACACATATACACACACATGCACATATACACACGCAGTCTGCCCCCCACATCCCATCCATGGGATCCACATCTGTGGATTCAGCCAACTACAGATCAAAAAACAGTTCAGGAAAAGTAATTACATCTGTAGTGAACATGTGCAGTTTTCCCTCAACCTTTTTTTAAACAATAAAACATAACACCTATTTACATAATTTTATACTGCGTTAGGTATTATAGACATAGTAATCCAAGGATGATGTAAAGTCTGTGAGAGGGCATGCATCAGGTATATGAAATACTCCATTTTATCTGAGGGACTTAAGCATATGCAAATTTTGGTATTCAGGGAGGTTCCTTGAACCAATTCCCTGCAGATTCCAGAGGAGGCAGCATATCTGAACTGTATTTTTCCATATACATTTGATTCAAATTTAACTTTAAGGCTTAGATAACTCTGGAAATAGCTTCCCCAGAACCATAGATTTCCATGTAACTCTGTTTAAATGTCTCAAGCTTAAGGAATCTCATTCCCCAAATAACTAGGTCAGCTTTCCTATGATGTGATATCATAGCCCCTTGCTCTTCTCCTTTGAAACCCTTATCACAATTTTTAGTTGAATATTTGTGTATTTAATATATTACTTGCTCTGTCCAACAACACCAAAGAAAAGGCTCTCTCTTGGTAATTGATGTATTCCCCTGGCACCTGGGAGATAGGAAGATGGTAGTTGCTCAATGAAATGATTGCTGAATGAGGCGACGAATGGATAGTGTGCGTTTAGGGTACGTAGCCTAAGCACCACTGGCCAGCTCCACTGTTGGCTGAGCCGAGGGAAGAGTGTCATCCGTGCATTTGGGGCAGACTGAGACCCACCCACAGGAGATTTGTCTCTTTCTAAAGAATCCCCAGTTTATAATCAAGAACAACTTTCTCCCAGGCCGGGACCCTTGATCTCTTAGACTCCCAGGCATAGACCTGCAATGTGCTACCTGCAGCTGTTTCTGTTTTCCAAAGCCCCATCACAGGTAAGCATCCCACTCTAGAAAAGCAACATGGCACAGCCTGGGAGTTATCTGTGACCTTTGACAAAATACCCCATGCTTTAGTTTCCTATCTTCTTGTCTATTAAATGGCTGCACCTCTGTAAAATGTATAGGACAGGTGCCTGGCACCATAGTCAGTATCATATTTGCTCTTGTTATACTGGGCTGCCTTCCTCGACACATGCCAAACCACCAAGTCAAGACCTGCCCTCTACTGCCCTGCTCCTTGCCTTGGGCAGAGAGGATCAGGGGGTTCCTAGTGCTGAGAACAATGACTGCCAACACTTTTGAACCACAGAGTCAGCCTACAGATAAACAAGAGACACCTACCCTGAATTAGCTGAAGAATTTCTTTACCCATCAGCCCTCTCTTTGCTCCAGCAAGCCCCCTCCCCACCTGTGTTCTCCTGCTCTCTTCCCCACTGTGGCCAGCACTGCACAGTGAATTATCCACCTTCCTGCTGAGTGCCCAGCCTTGTCCACCTAAAAAGTGACTAAAGCAAAACTGCTTAATAAAAAGATCAGGACACAGAACAAATGACTGGAGCCAGAACACAGAGGTCCATGTGAGTACAAGATGAAGAGGCCAGCTAGGCCTTAGTTCAGGTTTTCTAAAACAAAATCACTAAGATAATAATTATGACTCCCTAGTGACACACCTGCATCACTATATATATACAAATAAAGAACAAAATAGAAGATAGATAAATAAGAAGTAGGGAGAAGTTTGATAACTCCCCCAATTACCAATTCCATTGTTTCAAAAATATTTGAATGTACAGTATTTGCTAATTTGTTTCATTCACTCTACTAGTTGCTCTTAGCCATTGAACAAAAAGTTTTGTGCTTTTTATCTGTTCATTTCTTCTTTGTATAAGAGAATCTTTTTTTTTACTTATGTCTTGTACTCTGAGTAACTATTTTCAAGATAACAGTGCACAGCATATTAATGACTGTTATTCGCCTATTATTTTGTTATGAAATTTTGTTTTTTTCCTAAAATCAAAAAAGAAAATAGAAAAAAAAAAAGGAAAAAAGTAAAGTGGAAAACATAAGTTATTTGAAAAAGCCAACCAACCTCCTTGGGAAATTTGATATATGTACTTGCTGAGCACTCACTATGTCCCAGGTGTAGGGGACCCTGATGGGACCAGGAAGAGATGGCCAGTCCCTTGCACCACAAAACTTACATCTAGTGTGGCTGACATGACAGGTGCAGGACTGAGGGGGAGGAGAAGGAGGCTGGCACCTCAGCTTGATCAGGGAGCATTTGTTTATGAGGAAGGAAAACTTAAACTGGCTCAAAACAAACACATAACTACCACCCAAATCAAGCTATAGACCATATAGGCCCTTCAAAGGTCCACCCTTGAGGCCCTCTTCACGGTCACTCTGGAAGGCCACCACTGTTCCATGGCTAGTGCCATGCTCTGGTGTGGCCCAGTTTCAAACTTCATGTAGATTAGAATTATCCAGTGTCTCATTTTTTGAGCCTGGCTTCTCAGGCTCTACAGTGTCCCCGTGAGAGTCCTCTGTGCCGTTGAATACAGCAGTAGTCCATTGTTCTCTCCTGATAGACAGTGGCCCATTATATTAATGGGCCATTGTCTTTCAAAATCCATTTTACTTTTGTTTCACCTTTAAGCTGCTCCAATTTGGGGCTAGTACTGCTATGATGACACTTGTAGATGCACAAATGGACTCACTTTTGTTGGGTATGCTGAGGAGTGGAAGTTTGAGGTCATAGAATATTCCCGGTGTTCAGCCTGTTTTTCAAAGTCATTGTACCAATTTACACTTTCACCAGAAGGGTATGAGATTAGCTGCTCTCCATCTTCTCTAACCTTTGATAAAAATCAGTTTTATTTTTAAATTTTGGCCATTCTTGTGTTTTATGTAGTGGTTATCTCGTTGTGGTTTCATTTTGTATTTCCCTGATGACTACAGGTTGAATATATTTTCTTATACTAATAGGTCATTTGAATATTTTCTTGGAATCCTTTTTTTGGAGAGATATAAAAAATATTCATTGCATGTAGACTTGCCTTTATATTCTTAGTAATATCTTCTTAGGAGCAAAATTCTTAATTTAAGGAAGTCCAATTAATATTTCCTATTGTGGTGTTTTGTGTTCTTGAGAAGTATCTTCCTATCCTAAGGTCATAATCATATATTCTCCTCTGTTTTCATCTAGAAGCACTATTATTTTATTTTTCATAGTGAGCTGTATGATCTAACTAAAACTGATCTTCTAAGTATCTTGTGGAAGGTGGGGGGGGTTGAAGTCTATTTTTTCTATATAATGCCAATGAAAGTGAAGATTTCAACTTCTCTGAAAAACTGTTTGGCAGTATCTACTAAGTCTTTGGCCTGCAAGAATGTCCCTAGCCATTTTAATGGTAACAACCAATAGTTGAGCATAAATTAAGAGTCCATCCATAGGAGAATGGATAGACTGGGGAAATAGTTATACAATGGAAGTTTAATCAGAAATTTAAGAAAACCAAACTCCTGGTATACACCACATCGTAGATGCACCTCAAATATAATGTGGAGTGAAAAGTGGGGAAGGCAGTAGTGTGCAGTGGGTAGTGGCTGGAAAGAAGGAAGAAAGAGCCTTCTTTGTGTTAGAAACCTGCTACAGTTTGATCTGAGACCCATGAACGCATGATACACGAGGGCAGTCATGGGATCAGTTATGTGCTTAAAATTAATTCACTTCACTATGCTGTAAATTTAATAAAAGTGATAGATAATATCCCTTAAGAGCAACTCTGTCTGACCTAAGGGGCAATTCTACTATTGGGTCATGCTCCCCATTGACCATCCTCCATTTCGTGGGCAGTCTTATGGTCCCATGATCT